GATATTAATAAAAAAAAAGATATTGAAATTTAAATAATAAATCATATTATATGATCTAGAATTTCAAATTAAGTAGCCTTTATTTACTCTTTCCAAAAAGAGGTTAATTTAAAATTATATTGATCATATTGTACAAACTGTTCATATTGTAAGACTTTTAAATATTTACATATCATAGACCTAAGATTAATGAGTTGAATTAGTGTTAATTTTTCAACTATGCAATCCCATTCATACAATCTGAACAAATAAAGAGCATGTCTAGACAAACTATGTTTAGATTGGATGAACTTGATCTAATCATACTACATGATTCATATCAATACACTTTTTTTTTTCAAATTCTATGATTCATATCATACACTCCAATCAAATAGAAAGTAAATAAGGGTTTTAGACTAAATTGTATAAAACGTTTCGTAAAATTCATAGATTGTTCTTTTAAACCAACCCATGAAATTTACTAAACAATTTATTTTAGGGTTTCTTAGGAAGCATTCTTATAAAATGCATGTTGAAAGCAACCCAAAAAAAGTTTCTCTAGTCTTGTTGAGCTCCTTTAAATTTTTTAAGAGTTTTGGTGTTCCAAGGGTTTTGGGAGTGAGAGTGGAGAGACTTGTGAGATCTTTTGGAAGGGACCAAAAGTGTGAGGTGAGGGATTCATCATTGTTGTCTAGTTATATATATATATATATATATATATTGCAAAAGCTCTTGGAGAAGGGCTCAGGTAAGTCTCAATGTTAAGACTTGGACATGGCTTTATAGATCTAGCAAGAGGCTAGGGAGAAGTAGCTTATTAAGGGGAGAAGTAGCTTCTCGAGGAGAGAAGCAGTGTTAGGTGTTTCCATTACCCGTGAAGGAGAGAAAATTCTCAAGGATAGAAGTGTTTCTAGGATTTCCACCATAACCCATGAAGGAGAGTGACTTCTCCATTTTACTACGAGTGATATGAGAGTGGTAGTGAAATTTTTGAGCAAATGCTCGATGAGTGGATGTAAGTCAAGTGATGATAATACTATAAATATGATTTGTATTTTTCTTACTTTAATTTCCTTTCTTTTAATTTATTTTATGCAATATTTTTTATTATATGCATTGTTATGAAAATTGACCGAAGATCTAGTTTGAAATCAAAATGAATAATTCCACAATAATCTTTTTTTTTTCTTTTTTTTATAAATAAAATAAAACAAAACAAAAAAAAATAAACCATAGTCGTCAGATTAATTTAAGTAAGTTTAATAATAATTTATACTATACAATCTCATTCATACTGTACGGTATATTTTGAATTCTTACTTAAAATAACCCCGAGATTAGTGTGTAAATCAAGGATTAATTTCTGATTAATTATTATACTGTACGACCGTGTTCGTACTGTATGATCAATCGAGGCTATTTTTGGTCATCCTAGATATCGTACCGGACGATCCCTTGATTTTATACTAATCGTATTGAACGACATGGTTCGTACCATAAGATGTTCAGAGACGAGTTTCATCCTCCCAACAATCATCCTGTACGAATAGAAGAATTTTACATATCATACTGTATGGGTTTATATCGTATTGTACAATAATATTCATAATTTTGGCCTGTTTGTAAACCTTCGTTACAGGACGAAGGTTGTTCTGTACTAATAGTACTGTATGATATATGATCGTATTGTATCATCATAATGGCTAAATTAAAATTTTTAGGTTTTTGTGGAGCCTATTTTTAAGTATCAAAATTTCTGTTTTTTGGTGCGTGACTGTGAGAGAGGAACGTGATTAGAGACGGATTCCTAGGGAGAGATCTCTTTAGAAGATTTTAGGGTTTGTGAGAGAAAGGATAAGGTGGGCTTAGTGAGGGAGAAGGAGTGTGAGGGAGATCACACAGTTGCTCCAAGCTTGCTGCACTTTGCTCTTTCTGTGGCCCGAGAAGATCTTGTGGGAGGCTCGTTGAGGGGGAGACTCTTCTACATCCGTGTCCTCTAAGGTACTCTGCCTTCTCCAGGAGAGAGAAAAATGAGAAGGTATGCTGTCGTCGCCAGCAGGGTGACAAAGCGCTTGGCACTCCGCCACGTCGGGTTAGTGAAAGTGAAGTTTGTAAGGGCTTCTTCGCCTTGCCGTTGGGGCAAAAGAAAAAAATATTGTTTAGTAGTGGACTCCGGGGAGTGGACGTAGGTCAAGTGACCGAACCACTATAAAATCTCTGGTGTGATTTTTCCTTTACTGCTTTTTATTTACGCTTATATTTTATTTTCATTAAAATTACTTGGTAAAAATTGTTGTGAAATCCATTGTTGCAAATTGTGTTTCAAGCACTTGCTTCCACATTATTTTATTTTCTTGTTTAAATTTTAAAAACACAAAAAAAAAAAAAAATAGAACTCCTCTTTAGGATTTTTTTTTATTGCAACAATTTTCCAATTCACCCCCCTCTTGTCGCATCTCATAATTTTAATCCTCACAAAAAATTATCAATTCATTGAATCACATTTAGACTTCTTAAATTTAAAATTATTTTTATTTCATGTACTTTAGACTTCTGGAAAGGAAGCTATAAGGGTTATAATCTAGGGCTCACGATTCTGAGTATTGTTTGAGCTAAGTTGGTCAACCGCTAACTTCTTCCCAACCTTTATTTCACTCGAATTTAAACTCTGCCAAACATAACCATACTCTTATAATTATCTTAAGAGAGCCCCCATATACCAATTGTATCGCAATAGTGATCTAAAGCTCACACAAGTAGCAAAACCATAGTAATTTTAAACTTTAATCATCATTATATTTCAAATACTTAAAATTTCAAAGCAACTTCTAAATTTTCTTTTAAGAACTTATTGTGAGCAAATTTTAAATTTGTCATCCTTTTGCAAATCGAGTTTTGTGTAAGCAAAGTTAATAGGAAAATGTTGAGAGGTAAATCTTGTTATGATAATTTTTTTGTTGTATTTTATTTTATTTTTGTTGTATTTGTCCATTATAATAGAGTACGATGTTTGATTGTTGCAAGGGTTGTGCTCGCTCCATTGTAGGAGAGCATAAAAGTGTTGTAATATTGTTGCGTGCGAGAATATACGCGGCGGTAGAGTTTGTAAATTCGCGTCCTAGCATTGCACGAGTATTTCGCACACAAACAAAAAAGAGAAAGTGAACACCAAGATTTTTATGTGGAAAACCCCTATAAAAGGGGGAAAAACCACGGGGCCTATCCCAGTTTGAATGAATCCACTAGCATTTGCAGTCGATTACAGATGAGGCCCTTCCTTGGGAGAAGGCCTTAGCTTGATGTACATCTTATGGAGTACATTACATGATGTAAATACAAAGAGTCATTGTTGACATGTTCGTTTGGTCGGAAGGACCGTAGTCGGCGGGCGACATAAGTCAGGAGGACCATAGTCAGCTGGCGACGGAGGACTGTAGTCGGCGGGTGACGTAAGTCAGGAGGACCGTAGTCGGCGGGCGATGGAGGTCGGAAAGACTGTAGTCGGCGGGCGACATAAGTCAGGAGGACCGTAGTCGGCTGGCGACAGAGGTCGGAAGGACTGTAGTCTGACGACGAAGATCAGTAGGACAGCGTCAGGTAGAAGTCCAGCAATGGAAAGAAATCCATCTTCGCGTAGACGTCTAGCGAAGTCCGATAACCGGTAGAAGTCCGGCGTCGGGTAGAAACTTAGCGAAGAGTGAAGGTTCGACGTCGGGTAGAAGTCCGACGTCTGTTGTTGACAAAGGAGAACTTCGACTTCTCTTGGGTGGAGTTTCAGCGTCAGAAGGGAACTCTGTTGCAAATTGGGAAGAATTTCAGCATCACGTGGAAGTTGTGCAAATTCCCGGCGTTTCCTGAAAATCCGGCAGAGTTCCGGCGTCTTCAGGCGGCAGGAAGAACTCCGGCGGTGGTCGAGGAGGTGAGGAATCTCCTTTTCCCCTTTCTCCTCTTCTTCTTCTCTCTCTTCACTTGAGCCCCCTTGGTGTAGAATGAGGGCTCTATTTATAGTTTTTCTGGAGTGGCATAGCCCGTAAATAGGCGTGAGATCAGTCGTCTGGAGGTCAAAACGCGCAATTATTTCCGAGACGCTCAGTTTGACTGTAAGCTCGCTGAAATCGGAGTTCGGGTGCTCCCGGATTTAATTTTTGAAGTTTCCGGCTAGCTTTTTGCCTCGAGATTCGTGCCCGATCAATATAATTTTTGCATGACGTATCAAATATATTGATATCTTTTTGTGAAATCCAAGATAAGGGTTGCCTTGGCATGAACTTAGGCCGATTTTAGGATTTGAATAAATTCTATAAAAAATATTATGCTTGTTGCCTCTTTTTATTCTTGTTGTTGTGTTTGGTTTTATTTTTATTGTCATTATAACATACTTTAATTTCCTAAAAAAATTAAAATTTTTTATTTCATATGAATTATTTAAAAAATAATGTATCCAATTCACCACCCTTTTGAGTGCCAAAATAACTCTCGTAGATGACCCATTTGATCGACCAATTTAATGGAATCTATTTAAAAAATTATTTAATATAGATATGTCCGAGTACAATAAGCTAATATCAATACTATTCACTAAAAAATTAAGGTTGCACTTGTGTTTACTCCCAAAAAAAAAAAAAGTATTTGTTGTGCAGTTAAAAAGAGGTATACAACGAATTCATAATTATGTACTCTTACTATCTGGACGTAGAGATGTGCATAGTTTGCACCTAATTTTTCCAACAGCATACAAAGTAAAGAAAAAAGGTTTAAGATAGTTTGACCAAGTTTGAATTGAATGAGATCCAAATCATTAAATTGGCTTTGAATTTAGTTTAATATATAAATAATTAAATTAAATTGATATTATAAATTTTTTAAAATAAATTCAATGATTTTGAAATTAATTTGATAAGAATTTCATCAAACTATCCTGATGCAATTATTCCTCGATCAAAATTTGATAATAATGAATTCAAAATCTTTTTTATTTTTATTTTTGAGATGAATACATCTTAAAATATAACAATGAATTCAAAATATGATATCATCCGTTTCCATGCTGCTATTCTAGTCATCGTCTTCGGTTGGTCAGGGAGACCGGAGACAAAACACGGGTAGAGAGCTGCTATTCTAGTCATCGTCTTCGGTTGGTCAGGGAGACAAATCACGGGTAAAGAGATTGATTAGATTATAATACAAAGAAGTCACAGCTGTTATTGCCAAGATCAAATTCCAGAGGGCAAAGGATGTATCATCCTTCTAGAGGCGGTGTACGAGGCGGTCGAGATCGTAAGATTCCTTGGCCTTTACATAATTATTATTTTTGTTTATTTTTAGGGTTTCTGGTATTGCATGGATCTGTTTTACTCAACCGACTTTCTTCTGTCTATCGCTCCAATTGTAACGTTAATTTGATTTCTTACTTGGCTTATCACCGGAATTGATAGATTCTAAGCAGCAATTTTTTTCTTTAGGGGCTGTTTGGTATGTGGATTTAGGTCGGAGTTGAGGCGGATTTGAGGCCTAATCCAGCCAAACGTCTAAAATGCAAAACTAAATCTCACGGAAAATCAAAGCCGGAAAAATCGTCGTAAATCCTGGATTTCCGAAATCCTTTCTTTTGACGGATTTTCAAAATCCTGTGGCTCTATTGGCGGGAAGGAAGAAACTATGTCTAAATCTTTCAATCTCTTTAAATCCTGAAAGAATAACCAAACAGTCACATATGATTTATCATGAAAGTTGCCAAACAATTTTCAGGATTTAATCCCCTCAGGATTTCATAAATCCGGATTTGGAGGATTTACGAGAGCCTACTTAAATGAAATCCTATATTCTACCAAACAGCCCTTAATCTATTTTGAGAGAGAGAGAGAGGAAAGGTTGAGAAAATTTCGTTTTTTTTTTTTTAATTTTATTTAAGGTGAATTATTATCTAGAAATATGTTGTTGGAGAAACTGTAAGCTCGTCTTTAATTTATCCTGAAACCCTGGCATCTAATCATCTGATTATTTGTATCTCTTAACTGAGTAATATTGATTTTCTTCTATGAAGGGGCGCTACTGGTGAAATTTTAATAGATAACAAAGTTCTTGAATCTGAATGTGATGAGCACTTTTCATCTGTGACAATATTAGCGTAGGACTATTTAGTGTAATTAACTACTCAAGAGTCTGAACTAATGGAGAAGACACAGATAAGACTTTATAGACAATGGTTTACTCACTCATCCATGATTGCCTTCTAGCGCCTGTTTTCAAAATAACTGCAGTTAATTGTAGGTCTGGCCTTAAGTTATAAACCCCATATGGGCATTGGGATAATCACTTATCCCTCTATCTTAGGAGTTCTACTCCCCTCCCTTCCCCATGGAGAGACTGCTCGATTCATGTTGATTCAAACTCATAACAATCTTTCATACCAAATGACGAGCTTTCATACCAAATGATGCATGACCATTTTTTTTAACTAACTATTCTAGAAGGCCTTAGCTTACATCTAAGACCTTGTTGCTAATGGTCAGCCTACACATTCTTTGGTGTGCTCATAAAGGCCCATGACTTAATAGTCAATCATGATTGATTGTAGGTCTTGCATAAGCTTGTGCATGTATGAGGAACACTTGAGTAATGCCTATTTTGATGCTTAAAATGAACAACTTCTAGTGAAGGGAAAGTAATTAATTTGGGAAAAGCACCTTATAAGTTCGGAAGTACCTTTTAAAAATCCTAACTAATTGCTTTGTGAAAATAAACCATTCTAGAAAATGAATTAATTCCAAATATATGATAAAACTAAGAATGTAATAAATTCATGGCTTATCTCATGAACCTTTGGTGTAAGAAACATTCTTGGACTTGAACTTTAACCAAGGGATCTAAGTAAAGATTCTCCGAAGATGTTTTAATTAAACAAATCAAATATTTTTCTTTTTTTTGGAAATTGATAGATCTAGTAACATAGAACAAACAAAAGAGGTTTTCTCTATGAAGTCAAGGATTTGAAAGGCTTGAGTAATAAGTAGCTTAATTTGATATAAGATACTTTGATTCGGACTTAGGCTTAAGCTTAGATTTGGGATCAGGTTCAAGATCAAGTTATTTTTTAGGCTCAAGTTTGGAGGCAATCTGATTTCTAAGTTTTGAATTTAAGTTCATATTCAAGTGGACGATCATTAACAGGATCATCTTATATATGAGAATCTTCTTTTAAATCTTGTCAAAAAGGGGATCATTATCTTGTATATTATCAATAAACTAGTTTCTTACATGTGGATATCTTAGAAATCTAGCATAGATGGCATGTTTTGGATCCTATCTATTGAAGCATTGACTGCAGATAATACTGTTGTTGGCATTGGTGTAGAAAGGATGTATAAAGTGGATTGTAACATGCTCTAGCAATTTAATTTTTATAATGTTGAATGGATTGATCAACAAAATTATCAGCATAATTGTTATAAAATGGATATGATAATTTTTAGGGTTTTTATTCCTGTGAAAATTTTTATGATCCGAAAATACATTAATTAGGCAAACCTTTCATCAAGTTTGCATATTCTTGTGTTTAATGTTTTCCAACCTATTGAAATATGCCCATCATTTTTATAAAATGTAAAATTCTAGTTGTGTGCAATAAGTGATGATATGCTTTTTTATTGTATTTCAATGATGTGATCACATTTGGTGTAAGTAAATGTAATAATACAAATTATGAATATTGTTGTGAATCTGTATTCAGTGATTATAATTTTGGTGACAACAAACATTTCTGATACTTTTATTTTTTCTACGATTGCCCTGCCTACTAACTTTTCAGGTCCACAAAGTCAATTGCAAATCAAGCCAGCTCAAGATTGGGTAGATTAGTAATGAGTCAGTTTGTAAGTGTATGCCAAGTGTCTTTACCTTTTCTTGAGTCAAATGTAATAAAGTGAGTCCTGATGCTAAGTAACCTTGCACACACACACACTCAGGGGAAAAATTCTGTTTGTTTTAGAGTTTTCTATTTTTGATCATATCGTCTGGGACAATCCAAAATCATCCTTGACAATTAGTTAAAAATAAAAATCCTAATTAGGGCAACCTGGTTAAGGGAGCCGAAATTAAGCAAATCGTCCTAGACGATATTAACATCGTTTTGGACGATATGCTCAAATCAGAAAAAATCAGCCGCCAACTCTTTTAGGCATATTATTATTTTTGGATATCGTACAGGACATCGTCCTGAACGATGCATTACAATTATGCCTAAATTAGTCTGATGATTAAGGAAAGTAATTAAGGTTTGATTGATCGACCATATCGTCCTGAACGATCAGCTAAACAAACCTTGGTTTCTTTCTGGACGGACATAATGATGTTTTGGACGATACGTATTGATTTGAACTAATCGTACAGGACGACCAAGAATCGTCCTGGACGATCATCTATTTTTTTATAGTCCAACATGAAAAGTCTGGCCGAACATAGCAATTGTCTGGATGATACTTGACGTTTTGAACTAATCGTACAGGATGATGTACTGGACGATCATAACAAAAAAAGGTTCTAGTCGTCCAGCCTCCTCCAGATCATCCTGACTGATTGAGCTGAATTTGTATTGATCGTACAGGATGATCCGTCGATCTTCCTGGACGATCTTTGTTGGTTTGTTGCAATTTAGGGCAAATTTAAAGCCCTTCTATATAAGGTCTCTTGCTTACTCAAGATTGTATCTTTTGCTACTGTCATAAACTGAGAGAGCCAAGAGGAGAGGGAGAGCTTGGGAGAGAGAGAGAGGATCTTGTGAGGGGGAGTTCGTAAGGGTTTCATAAAGGTTGCTTCAAGCAAGGATCCGAGTCGTTTTCTCCAATCATCGTCCTTAATTCCTTGGAGGTTCTAGAGAGGTCTACTTTAGCGATTGATCGAGATTCTTTGCCTGCTTCTAAAGGAAGCGAAATGAGTCCGTTTCTCTGCCTGCTACGGGAGAAAGTGAAAGGAGTTGAATTCTCTGCCTCACCGGGTTCGGTGGAAATGAGTTTTTGTAAAGACTTCTCCGCCTTGCTATGTGAGCAAAAGGAGAGTCACTGAGTTTAATGCAATACCCGAAGGAGAGGCTTCGGGGAGTAGACGTAGGTTAAGTTGACCGAACAACTATAAAATTTGGTGTGTTCTTTCTTATTGCATTTCCGCATTTAATTTTCGCACATTTTTTTTCTGGTGAATGATTGTTTGGTTTATGATTTTAAAATATTTCAAAAGATCGTGATTTTTGTTGGAGAATTTTTAAAACACCAATTCACCCCCCTCTTGGTTAGCCTCAGGCTAGTTCATAAGGGTCTAACATCCCTAACGAACTTTCAAATATTCTATCAAGCTGCCAATAGATTTAAATTTATACAAAATTCAACTTTATTTAATAACTTATTTTACTTAAGTGCTAGATTAAACAATAAATTCAACCAAGTTTAATTCATATCATATGGTTATTAGCTTTTTAGTTTATCTATCTCTATCAAGAATATTCTCATTATATTTTACTGTAAACTGCTAAAAGCATGCTATGGGATTAATGTACTTTTGGAAAGCCTCCGATTGACCAGCCTGTACTGAACTTGGTTGCCATCCGACAAAAAAATCAATTCAAAACTTCTAGTTGGCATCAAATATGTGAATTGTGAGTATAATATATCTTATCCATTGAACAACTTAATGGAAGAGAAAAGAGATCGTAACTCAAGATTGCTGTAAAATACAGTGCAAATGCTAGAAAGAAGATGATTTCATTGTTGTGCTGTGGCTCCAAGAAAAATATTATGATTGTTTTGGGTGAAGTGGCAGTGGCTTAGTTCACTTAAATTAGTTCGAGTGGGTTGGCTTATTTAAACATAGGTGGTTTGGCTAACCCATGGAAGTTGGATTTAGGGTTTGTTTGGGACTGCTTTCATATTGCTTTTTAAAACAACTTTCTAGTTAAAAATTTTCAAATCCAAAAAATATTTATACTAGAAAACTTCTTTATAAAACAACAAGAAAGCTGTCCCAAACGAAGCCTTAGTGTGGGTTAGTTTTTGATTTTTTGTTGTTGCTCAGGTTATAGTTATGGTTTTTTAAGTCTTTAATAGAATAAGATTAGGCAGGTTCAACTTTTTGAAAGTTTTGGCAGCTATTCTAGTAGATAAATTTAACACTATAATGTACTTTAAGGCTTCGTTTGAGACGGCTTTTTATTGCTTCTTAAAGTAGCTTCTTAGTACAAAAATTTTAATTTTTGTTATAAAAAACTACTTTATGAAGCAATAATAAAA